TGTCCTTGACCTCTACGTGAATGTCTGAGAAGAACAAGGGAAGCCAACATGATCTTCACTAACAGAAGCGACGACTTGAGACAGGTCACAACTTGGCAAAGGCAAAGCACTACATTCAGTCGCTGTTTCCTGCTCTACCTGACAGCCCCTGGTTAGATTAATGTGTCTTGTTGGGGCCTTTGGTCAAAAGAGGTGAGAAGCACCTGGAGATAAAGCTGCAAGAATGATTGCAAGCCTAGAAAGCATGAGTTGTGCGTAAAGCTCAAAAGCAAATTAATTTTCTCTAAAGAATAAAGTACTCCAGGTTAATGTGATAAGAGTTTTCAAATCTGTAAATCTTACTGCAGGAGAAGGCAAGAAATTGCCTCCAAGTCCTTCTGGCACAAGAAGGACAAGAAACAACAGGCAAGATATTAATGTTATTATGCTAAATACTAGGAAAACCTTGCAAGTTAAGTAGAGGCAACCATGGGAATAAGTTGCATTGGGCACGTGCAGCACACACTAAAGGCTTTCGACAAGAGGTTAAGGGCAAATTGGTCAGAAATGTTTTGGTATCTCTGATTTTGCCATGTGCCATGAAAAGGGAGTGCATGATCTCCTTTGGTCCCTTCCAGCCCTATGTTTAATGAACATATGCTTGAAATATGTGCTTTAGGCATCACCCACTTCCGCAAACCTGCTAAACATTCAAACTCGCAACTAAATATTTTGTCAAGTAAGGGCTAAATGTCCTTAAGCTGTCTGTGGCTACGGCTGCCTTCAGGCTGTCCTTGTCCATGTGCTCCTCACAGACACGCACAGCGACTAAGTCACTCCTAAGTTGCATACGTGCTGAGATGGTGGAAAAGTCCATTGTTTTGGATGGGCAAATCTGAATATGTGACTGGCCTAAAATGTGAGCAAAGATGTTCAACTGAAACAGGAGGAGTCTCCAACAAGCCTCAATCATCATATTCACCAACTTACTCCGCAGCCATAATGAATCTAACCCTGTATGCTCACATACTCTGGCACATTCATTTCTAAGCTGTACAAAGCAATCTATGCTTAAATCCAGAGCACCTGACCTGGGGCAGATGGTTAGAAACACAGATGTTCCAATTAAAAGCAAAGAAAAGGACAAGAGCAGTAAAGTTGAGATTGCTTTGAAGGCTTGGGACACTTGACGAGCACCTTAGGCCTCTGCAAAAGGGTGCTCTGAAGGCTATGAGCATGAGATGACACATTTATTCACTATCATACTGTACTATGGAGGCATAAATTCTGAAGATCAAATACTAGCTACCAAAATGAAGGTAAAGTAAGTGGAGGCCCCTACCACTTGCTCAATCTGCTATCAATCTGCCTGGGAAAAGGCAAACTAAAGCCATAGCAACATCCAGTCCCCTTTGCAGATGCTCATATACCACGCTGATGAGGGCCAGCAAGGAAGCTCCTGAGCACAAACAAACAAAAAAGAACAAAAAAAGAAAAAAAAATCATAGATAGGTAGGTCAGTTATTCCAACCGAGAGGTCTAGTGATCTTATTTGCTTTCTCCTGTGCTAAGGGAGGTGGCCAAGAGAGCAGGTGCAGGGAGACACGTCCTGGGGTAGCTTGTACCTACTTGGCAGGCTCTCCAGCAGCTGATGAGGGTGGTTCTAGGAATGCGACCCTGGCTGTCCCAGGGCAGGCGGCCTGTTCATCAGCTACATTTTGAGGATCGGGAATCGCACTGCTTGTCTTGCAAAAAGAGAAATGCCTTTATTTTATCTACCTCAGGCCACTTGTTGGTTTTATAAACATGCATTTGGAGCTACAAAAACAGGATGGTCTATGCAGGGAGGGAAGTGTTAAGAAGCTGTCTGAGGATGACACAGTGCATCCTTTTCAAGGGTGACCAATGCAAAGAAAAATACTTTTCTTTTTCTCTCTTTTTTTTTGTGCCAGTTTAATGTCCTCAGAGCTAACTGCAACACAGACAGTGAAGAAAGAAGGAAGACTTGGCCTTTTGACAGAAAATGGACTTAGTGTGGTTACAACAAGCCATCTGCTAAAGCTAACCATAGAAGAAGTCAAGTTAAGGATGAAGAAGAACCACATCCATAATGACAAGACATGATATTAAGGGGCATCAACCAATCTCCCAAATTGAGCCAACTCTGGAAAAAAAAAATGTAGCAAGCACAAACATGACAAAAATTACTCTTGACACAGCTGGATAAATAAAACTACCTAGGAAAGGTCCCGTTAAAATGCACAAAAATTTGTCACCATGCTGCACATATAAGTTTTTCTTGTCACAGGAGCAAAACCAACACAAAAAGATAAGAGGATGGATAAGAGCCATAGAAACGAAAATTATTTAAATCACTGTCTCGCCCAGGAGACAAGACAGATTTAAATATGTCTGCATTTAACTTCATCCAAAAGACAAACTTTCACAGTTATCCAGACCACATCTGTCACTTAAAACGCAGGCAAATGGGAGTATTATTTATCCTTGGCCAATAAAAAACAAATTGGACGTTCCAGTTTCTACCCAGACCCCGCCAGTTGTCTCCTTGGAGGGTACGGAGATGCACTGGGGTGGTGATGCATGGAACATATGGTTAGGTTATAGCCAGTCTTTTCCATTCAAGTAGGCAAAATGCACTTTGCTTATTTGATTTTTTTTTTTAACTCAAGGAAAGCACAATAATTGGAATTTTTCTCAGGAACAAACTTCAACGTGCTGTGAGCTAACAAGCTACCGTGATACAGCAAGGTAATAACAGCGTCCATTCCTCTAATACATATTGCATCCCTTCATTTTGTAGCCTGAAATTACAAAATATATTTTCCTAAAAAAAGACAGCAGCAAGGGATAGTGATCCCATATGCCGTTTCGACAAAAATAGTCTTTTCTCGCCTTAATAACAATCTCGCTTGCCAATGCTCAGCCTGGAGATGCCAACTCTGAAAGGCGCTTACCTTTTTAAAATGGTAAAGGTGGGAGAATATTAACATAACTTCCCAGGGGGTAAAGGAAAACTAATTGCCATTAAGTCAAACTTGAAAATATCTTTTATCCCTCTGCGTGTAATCTGGTATCATTTAAGAGCTTGCTACAGCCTCTTGAGCAGAAAGACAGGACTGTTTAGTGACACAATACAACCTTTTTTACTTTTTTTTTCTCCTACGTAACTAAAAATCATGGATATTTAAATCTGACATGTAAGATCTTCTCTGCCTACTTAGCTCGACTGTCGATTCTGAACTAAGTGCATAATTTTATCAGTCTCATTTCAGGTGCCGCAGTTTAAAAAGTCCTTCCGTAGACAATATCAGCAAGCCATGACCTTTTCCTGCATTTTTCCTCTATTAAGCCAACTAGGAAGCAGAAGGCTCCTCATCTGATTCCCCATTATACTCGTAATTTACCCAGAAAGATGACTTTAAGCAGCATTCTCCTGTTTGGAACCTCCTAAACTCACCGCTGAAGACAACCCCCTACAAGATGATGACGGCTTTTCTACCACCTATAGGCTTCTGCAGGCTGCTGAGGAGATACTCAGCACTTCCTGAAGGCTTCTAAAAACTTGGGGCCTCCTCAGATTTACATATTTCTACTTGTCTTCTGATAGCCTAAAACAACAGAGCATGCCCATTGGTGCCGTTTCTTAGACTTGGCCAAGGTTTCAGCCACAGATGTGATCCTTCTTACCACCACATAGACTTGGAAAGCAGCTGGAGCTAGAGGCCTCGTGCCTTCAGCAACACAACCCAATTGATTTAGTGTTGCCCAAATTAGACTCTTGCTCTCATGCATCCTTGACAGGAGTCCCCTCTGTCTCTCTCTCCAATGACTATAGAAGGAGAGGGGGAATGACACTGTCCCAAAGCTACTGAGCTGAGCTCCCGTGACCATGTTCCAAAACACCAGCTGCTAATGGGGAAACAAAAATAGAGCAAGAGGAAGAGATCAAAGCCCTCACTGCATGATTTTAAATAACCTCTGAAGAGGAAAAGACAGAAACAAGTTGTCATTTAAATACCGATTTCACCCGTCACGTCACCGGCAATAATCCAACCACTCATTTTGCTGGTTTCCAAGTTCCCAGCGCAACAGAGATCGTGCAAAAAGGCACTTTTGGCTTCCGTCCGGCATGGGGATTTCCCCTCCACTTTTGTGATGGCAGCAGTAACTCTGTTTACTTTTCTGCCCCCTAATTTAGAGGAGTTCCTCACATACTGTACTGGTGTCCGGTAGCAGAAACGCCTCCGTGCTTGAGCACTGTGATGTAAACTAAGCTCCCTCTTGCTATTAAAAGCTTTTGCATTCACACAATCTTACAAATGGGTCGCCCAACTGCTGCCCTTTCTGACTCTTCTCGCTTAGCCCTTGTTTTAATAATAACAATAAAAAACCCGCCAACAACTACATGGCTCTAAACCCAAGCAGAGCAAAAAGCCAACCTAGATTTTGTGCTTTCTTTAAAAGCGATCAAACAAGAAATATTCAAACATCCTCCTGCGAACTGTAAATCAGACATAATGCATAGTTTGCCTCATAGTCTACAGTGTGCTTAACAGTCACCAGTTTGCTTCATAGTCAAGTAGGACATTGATCTCCAGACCTGAATTAGCAACTTCTTAGCGCAGATGGTGGACCATGACTCCACTTTTGGCCAACTAAAATTACAGGTTGCTCTTATCTCATCCATCAACACCACAGAAAGGCAGAATACTCTTCAGGTTATTGTTTAAAAGGCAATCAGTGCCATAAAAAGGTATTGTTTTGGTATAAGAACTCTTGGAGAGAGAAGATAGGTGCTCCTCTCCTAATCTAGGATGTACATCCTTTAGGTTTATTTCCCTGCAAATGCAATACGACTTTCTTCAACTATTAATAAAATAAGCCCAACACATGCTTCTCTGACAGTAATTCAGGTGTAGTAATGAGGACAAATGAAAAGACCGTACTGTTGTTCCCAGAACATTACACAAATTTCAGAGAAAAATGAAAAGATTACCTACCAGTTCAACTCGTCCAAACCCTCCAACTCCAAGGGTGTCAATGATGTTGAAATCAGACAGTTTCAGGTTGGCGAAGAAGGCAGCTTCGGCTTCATATCTGAATTTTTTTATGCGAAAAAACGGAAATTTCTTAGATGGGCAAACACGAGGACTGCGCAATACCGCACCCGAACAGCATGAGCGTGGAACAGCCTTTACCTGCTTAATTTCCATCTTATTGCTCACAGTTTGCTTCTAATCACACTCGTAGTTGTTGGTCCTGTTATAGCATAGCTCCACTTTGCATTTTTGGTTTTTTTCCAAGTGCGAAAAGCAAACGTTCCTAGTACATGCCTACAGTGCACAAGTCTGGTACTGCAATCCTGCTCCAGCTACCAAGCGAGTGCTACAGTTTGACATTTTCTATATATCTTCTTGCGAGGAGTGGGTGGTTTGTTTTGCCTTTTAGGATTTTTTTTTTTTTGGAAGATCAAGTCTCTCTCAGAGATTTCTTTCATCTGCAGGCTGGCAGCAGTTTCTCTAAGTGTTTTACGGAAAAGTGGCAGATCATTAAGGTCCCTGGAGAGAAACCATAGCCCCCTTTTTTTTTTTTAATGAAATCAGATCCGATAAGCTGGGGGCTGCTGTGCAAATGCCTGCAATGAATGACTTCAGTCACATATTAACATTCCTTAAAAAATATCTTCACTTCTTTTCCTGCTATAAACTCACTTGAAGGAGAAATAACAGCCCAGGAGGTCCCAAAATCCCGATGCTCTCTCGTTAGCCCATGCGCAACTGGCTCACAACAGAAGTTCACTAAGCCCTTCACTATGGAAGCATGCAAATCTAACACATGCAAGCCTGCCAAAATTAAGCTTCCCATGAACACACTCATGAATATGAGTCCTCAAAAATAGCTCCTTGTCAAGGTTCACGGTATTTTTAGAAAGGCTCAGAAGGAAAATGGATGGACGGGATCCACCCACTCACTAAAATTTGACATTCAGATGCCAGAGAAGTCCCTGTGCATGTAGCAACCTTTGGCTATTGGTGATATGCGATTATGTGGGGAAAAAAAGCCCCAAAAAGCATTAATGGGGTTATGGAAAAAAAGACATGCAAGGTGTAAAGGGGGAATTGGCTTAGAAGTGCACAATTTTCAATATTTTATTTTATCCGTGATGTTTTGCCGTTGACTGCAACCACAATGTGTTATTTCACCCAAGCATCGTGTGCTTCATTGGAGCCCTTTTTAGGCTCCAGCAAAGATAAACTATCACAGCATCAGCAATGATCGCGTCCGCACAACCACCTATCTATCTTTTTAATGGATCTACTCTGTCATGCCCATCCCTGTATCTAATAATCTAATTCAATAAGGGAATGACATTGATTTAGGGACTTGATCCTGTCAAACCACCTTTGGTATTTTATCGAAAACCAAAATGCCATTTTGAGAGAAGGAGGGGGAAAAAAAATGTAATTCAAAGGTAAAAGGGAGAGGAAAAAAGAGATGCTGAGAAAGACAAAAGGTCCCATAAGAATGCCCAAAAGACAACACAATAAAGCGCTCTTTTATCCAGGGCCATGGGTGCCAAATGAGTTCAGCTTCACTTTATTATTTATACTGTTACCAGATCCTCTCAGTGACCTTGTCCCTGTGGCCTGCATCCGATTTTGGAAAGTAATCGCCACCGAGCCTGCTTCGAACTTGGAATAACCTTGTGGGACACAGCTGATTATTGATCGCTTTATACTAATCGTGAGGTACATATTAAACTCATAGCCATTTTTTAAAAAAGAGTATCTGTTAAGTGAAAGACATATTTACAGGTTCACTTCTAAATCACAAAAGGCACATCATTTTGGGCGTGACAATGCAATGAGATGGGTCTAATGGTCGTGCTAAATATGTATATGCAGCATAGGATTTGTCTTTGGCTTTCCTGACCATTTAAAATGCATTTAATAATTTGCAATTGCTAGAAAGCCGAGAGGCCAATGTGGAAAAATTTCCTCCCAAGGTGAAACATTTGCTGCAAAATTTTTAGCCAAAAAGCTCAGTGGGAGCTGCAGAAGGGTCACATCCCCCCAGCAAAGAGTGGGTGGGAGATGCCAAATGCCAGTATGTCAAAACTAGGGTTTCCAAAGCCATACAAGAAAGACGGAAGGGGAAAAACAAATCTTTCCTTTGCTCTTATCCTGAGCGATTGCAGAGTCCTACAAAAATTGCACAGAGTTCAAAGCATGTGACCTGGGGGGACAAAACCAGACTGTTTCTGGAAGTGGAACTGGAAAGGCAAATGGGGGGGTTACTCAACTCTTGGAAGAGCTACCAATTCTTCTCAATGGGTTGGTGAGGACCCACGATCTCATGCAGCAGCCACAAGCTCTTCAGGTTTTGCATGTCAAGCCATAGAAGCTGAAAGCTGATGGCTTTTGAAACAGGCCTGTGTGAGGCGAAAATCCATGAATTTATTATTTCATTAAAGGCAGCAACTAGGGCATTAAGTTGATTGGGTTTTTTGGAAATCTCCTAGCAAAAAACTCAGACCCGTGGTGTGCGGTTAGTAAATCCAAGTGCAATGAAGCCTGTAAAACAAATCGGATCCAGTTCTCCAGACACTACGCAACAGGCATCTTAGAATCAAAAGAAATGCATAAAATAGAGAGTGAAACAAAGAAAATGAGAATAAAATGCATGCAAGCCTATCATATGCTTGACAGGAACCATCACGTCTGCATTCTGCTTCATTCCCAGCTACAAAGGTCCAAGTCCACTTTCCAATCAAATTGCAATAAAAGCACAAGATCAATATTGTCTAAAGGCACACAATTTACTGCTGAATTCTGACACAGAATGCACCTGTAAATTCTCAAAAGCTCCTAAATCTTGAGGATTACTGTCAGTTAAATTAGATTTATCTGAAGGTGAATGGGACGATGCTGTGCTTTAATTTAAGAGTCAGCAGAAGCAATACAGCTAACATGAGTTACGCATCTCAGCCCTAGAAAGCCTAAGAATAAATCTCTTAAGTCGCTTAAATAAAAATACCAAAACGAGGTCAAGATCATAATCTGGAAATTCAGAGTATGAACCAACTTTTAGGCAGCTTGCTTAATTTGCAGGGCCCTCTCTAAAGAGAAGCTGTTGAGATCTCGGGAAGTGGGCTCCTTGCTCTTCTCAGGTTCATTCTCCAGGAAACATGGTGCAATCAAGACAGCGTTTCTACAGACTTCTAGTGAAAAATATATGGGACCTCTTAACCTTCTCCACGCTATAGGTGAGAATCAAGTCTGCAATGTGTTTCTTTAATTAGCATCACTCTCCAAAATCAAACCATCCATCCTTTCAAGGGATGAGGAGAGCAGACTGAAGAAATGCAGAGGTTTAATGATTAAAGTTGGTATGTCTATAGGAATATGCATGTTTCTGGGACAGGTTAAGGAGGCCAGCTGAGATACACGGGAGACACGTAGCTGTGGGAGATATGGGGCTTGGAACCATGATTTCTTTCTCTCCCTCAAATAAGATAAATATGCTCAATGACCCAGTAATTAACATGAGTTGGGTTGCATTGTCCTTAGCCTGGATAGCAGCATCACCTGAGAAACCATAGTTAAAGGAAAGACCACAAGAAAATGTCGCTGTACACGTGTCCTTGCACTTTGAAGGAGCAGCTCTTGAAGCTCTAACACCCAAGCTATACACACAAAAAAATCAGAATAACCCTAATGGAGCAACTAAAAGAGAAGAAACAAGGAAATGGCACAAGCAAAGGTTTATCATTCCCCAACTGCCCGGTTTCTCTGAACCAGCTCACAATTCCTATTGCACAAACTAGAAGTGTTGGGCAACATTAGACATCTGTTACCAAACAGGCATCTCAGATGCAAAGCTTGGCATCTTTCCACCTGCACTCTGCCAATGAGATGGAAATTGTAACCAAATGGGACCCAACGATCAACTCCTGACAATAACAAACCTAAAAACTTTGGCTAAAAGAAAAAAAAAATTAAAAAAATCTGACTGCCACCAAGACAAACCCTAGCTATTTAACAGCTATTTTGCCAGCTTTACATCCCATTTTGTTGGTTGGCTGGTTTCACTGCAGCACCCTGACTGGGAGATAAGGCATTTCCACCAGCAGAAGACTTGAATCTCAGCAAAGAGTAGAGTAAACTGAACCACGGTGGCTGGATGATGGGCAAGAAGTCAAATATTCAGTTGCCTGCACAGTTTTTTACTCCACCTGCAGCATTCAGAGCCTGGAAGTGCCTGAAAGCAAATTCTGAAGAGGCATCAAAAGCAAATCCTCGTGTCTTTGTGGTGTCTTGGCACTCATCCTCGCAGAGATCCCACCCCATGTGCTTCTCCTCTAGCATTTGCTTGAGGCGCTGGTCCATTGGAGTGAGCATGTGCTTTGGGTGGAGAAATGACCCTCCACAGATCCTGGAGTCACAAAACAAATAACCCAAGGCATAAACCAGAAACACCGGAGGGGAAGGTAGTACTATCATCCTCTAATGGTGTCATCCTGCATGTTGCAGAGCCCCCTCCCCTAGCTTATTAACTAAAGAAGTGCTTAGCCTCAAATTACTCAAGTGGAGTAAGCAATGATAGCAGAGAAGGATGGGCTCTCTGCATAGGAAATACCTAAGCTTTGTGTTTCTTTCTCCATGTACCAGACATCTGAAGGTACCAGATGTCTATCCCTCTCATGCCAGAAATGCACCTTCGCTTTCAAAACATCCCTTTCGGATCAATGCTGCCATCAACAGGAATAAAATGTCAAGTAAAAGACAATTCCTTCACCTATTTTACTGTCAGCCACACCCAGTGTTACACAAAAGCCGAATTCGTGCTAAGCTCTGTCATGTTACGTGAATTTATTTAGCTTGTTCACATGTACAGAAACACAAAAAAAACCCCCCAAAGATCAGATTCGGACAGGGCCATTTATAGGGACAACAGGACACCCAGATGTTGGATAAAAGCACTGGCACAAGGCGACCATGAACCCTACAACTGGAGATATGCTAGCACAACCATAAATATCATCTATTATATTAAGGTTAAGACATTCCTAGAAGGGATTATTACCTTTCAGACAA